TCATGATCTTAATATGATTATTTGGAAGCATTCACACTGTAATTAGTTATATCATTGTTCTATCATCTCAATAAATTCTTGATAGCTGAAATATTAGGAGAACCTACCTGCTATATTGAAAAAAAAAAAGGATAATTATGTAATTCTAGTTCCAATAGAAGATGCTGAAGTGTTGTTCATGTTGCAGATGACAGATGATGATGATGACACCTTCCACCTGGTGCACCGAGTGCTTCATGKGACAATTTTCAGTCAAGGAGTCTCAATTTCAAAATCAGTCATCCACAGCACAGTTTGTACAGTACATGGTGAAGGCAGCTTTGAGCTGTGGAAAATCTTTTGGTGATCAAAACRGGTGCAGCTTGCTATAAGATGAAACCCTCATTTTGACTCAGTGGATGAAGGAAGGTAACATAATAAGACAATTTGCTTTGGACAAACCCTCCTTCATCCACTTTGCCCTAATGCATTTCAGCACAGGTAACATGTAGGCAAATATGTCGTGGATTAAAATTTGAAACTTTGGTGTTTAAAGTCAGACTTCATATCCAAGTACCCTAAATAAAACTGTTTTGAATATTTCRTTTCAATGATAGAGATATATAAAACACCCCACCAGCCTCAGTACGAGTTTTAACCACTTACGGGATACACATCCTCTCTAGAAATTAAGCTAACTGATTTGCAAATGTAACTGTAGATTTARGAACTCAGGCCTTTTAAGAAAATATTTAAGAATGCTGACATGACGGAGAAGCCCAAGTTCATTTTCCTTCTGTGAAAGTAATTTTGCATTTAAGTTGAGCAGCGATATTTTTTTCAGTTGGTGATCAAGCTGATGAATTTAAAAAACAAACCAAGTTGGTAATTTCTATCAGCACAAAATTATTTAGTTTCCTGCTAGATGAGCAACTGGCAAAAGATGCATTGGACTGGACTAGTGAGAAAAATGTATTAAATTTAACTTGAAATGAAATATGATGTTTGATTTAAACTTAAACAAAGGAAAGGTAGTCTAAAATGACAGAACAAAACATACACAGCTGCAATATGATTTTTGTCAAAATACCTGTAATTTAACACCAATTTCAGAAATATTGAAAGTTTCCTAACTATTCTGCTTCTAAGGGCCTCTGTTGCCATTGAAAATGGGTTGTAAATTAAAAAGTTCCTCTGTGATTTCCAGTCTTCCCTGCCACGTGCAAGTTTGGTCCCATRGCACCAAGACATTTGTCTGGGTCCATGCATACAAAAGAGCCCTCTCCTCAGTCCTGAGAGTCAGTAGGCAGTTTTCTAATGAGTCTTTTCTAATGAACCACTTCTAAAGAACCTCCAATGAACACTCATCCCACCTGTAAGGGAGTTCATAATAATAAATTCACTGGACTTGTTGCAACAAATTCCTGGATAGGAAATGGAGAAGGAATTACAAGAGCCCCTTCCYCCTTTGTACCAGGGCAGTGGCTCTGTCTCCCTCTTTCTCTGCTAACCCACCAAATGATGCTGACCTTTTCGGTGTCCTTTTTCCCTAGMCCTTTCCACACATATCTCAGTCTTTGTAGAAAAGGGGGGCAGTATGCTTCAGGCTCACAAGCACCWTGGGTGCTTCTCCCATAGACATGATGATGGCTCGGTGCGGTGTAAGCAGCATGCAAGGAGCACGGACATGGGGAGATTCAATCCTGGACCACTGAAACCCTTGGACTGATGAGATAGTACACTCAGTTTGTCCCAAAATGTTCCTCTGGACCTAAAAAGCCATTAATTAATGTTATCTGTGACAGAGTTTGGTGCTGAGTTTAGGTTAGTGAATTGGAGATGGAGGATGAGAACAAATTTGGAGAGAAAATCACTTTTCATAGTAGTACAGGGCCATCAGGCTTGGAAAGGCCCCGGCTTGCAGCCAGGAAAGTGGATGTCTGAGGTGGTCCCAGGGCTAGCCCTGCCGCCCCCACGTCCTGATACTGCAGGTGTTGGGAAAAGGCCTTGATAGGGCGAAATGTAAACAAGAGACAAGATGTCTGGGGACTGTTGCCAACAACTACACTTTGGCACCATGAGCCCAACCACAAGTCCAGCACCACAAGCAAGRCGCTTGCCAGGGTCAGGGCTCATGGTAAAGAGACAAATATCTCCTGCCTGTGAGGGGCAGAGTCACCAAGGAGCACGTGCTGTCCTAATATTCAAGTGCCAAACAGGGGTAGAGCCAAAGTGCCGCCATCTGCCCACAGTGGGGCTGGAGGCACCTCTCCTCTCGCCCGCCTGCGGTGCTGGAAAATGGAGACTGACTTTTTTCTTAGGAGGATACACAGAGGAAAATGAGTTATGAACTCAACATCTCACTCGTTAAAAGGTTTTGTGCCTTTTTGTTTCCGTTCCCCAAAAACATTGGCAGCAGAGGAGAGGACGGTCCACTTCCTGCCTTCTCCTTGCATGACATAATGCATTACTCTTAATGCTGGGTCTGATAAGAGAYGGTTGGCCACAATTCACAGCAGTCCCGGAAGAAATGGGTCAGTTCAGAGACTATGGGGGGAAAATGACAGTGAGATGAGACAACTCATCTGTGCTATCTGAGCATTTCTGTAAGGCTGTAGAGACAGGTTTATTTCCTGGGAATAACACCATAAGCAACAGAGAGAGAGAGAGAACATGAAGGCTGGAGAACAAGCAGCTGATGGATAGGAATCAGCATCCTCTGCATTTCTGAAAAAAATAATAATTGTATATGACATTAGACAAAATCGGAGGCCACTTTTGTTCAGTGAAAGCCCAACCTAAGAGCACTGAGGTTATAAATTCCCACTGATTTAAATTGGCTCTCAGTTGAAGCAGTGACTTTAAATGAAACTTAAAAAAATCATCCTGAACTGGAAATTTGACCCAGGCTACTTCAGTCAGTTGAAAGCTGCCAGTGCCTGAAGAGTGGCCCTCTGAGCACAAACTATGGGCAGCTCCATCTCCAAGCATCTCTTGCACGATCGTTCTGTGCTGCTGCTATGCACGTGTGCACCAAGCATCGGCTTGCTGAAACCATGCAGAGCAGAGGTGAAAGCTCAGAAAGGATGTCGTTACTTAAGATAATTTCACTGAGATTTTCTACTTGGCTGGAAGCACAAAGAAGCTCTCTCTCGCTCACTGTTTTGCACAGCCAAGTTTTAAATCACTTTGCATCAAAGCTCAATCTCAGCCTCACTGTTGTTAATCTTTCTCATTGGTTAAGTCTTTGCTTTCTGACACAAGATCTAAAACCTGAGCGTCAGTAATCAGCACATGAAGGTTTTTCAGCAGAAAGCAGCTCTTCCTTTTCCCTCCCTTTACTCTGTTGCTAAAGGGAGAGACTCCTCCCCTCCCATCTTCCCAAAGTCTCTGATATTTGAACTCCACAGCTTGCTGGCTTTAGAACAAGCCTGAGCCATAGGCATATATCCTGTATACCCATAGGTCCATAGGTATCTCACCCCAGCTCAGCAGTGCCTTCTCACCATGCAGTGCTCCTCAGGACGAGCACTTGAACTTGTTTACATGTGGGAAGGTATCGGCCCTGAGATGTTGTTATTCTTGTTGAATGAAAATGGCACTGTGTTGAATGAAAATAGCACTGTGAGGAAAAAATGTCTTTCATTCCAAAAGCTAAAGGTAATTCTTGTTCTTAGCTGTGTGTCGCTGACTGCAATGGAATTGCAGAATTCCTGATTTTGCACCAGTGTAATATGAAATAATTGACTTTCTGGTATCCCTACAGGCTATGTCCTGGTCTTTTGTGGCCAAGATCTGCTCCTGGTTCCTCAGCAAAAGGCAATCCTGTGGTGAAGAAGTGTCCCATGCAGACTCCCTGCTGCAGTGGTCCACATGGGGCACCTGTGCTCAGTGGCCCAGGAGTCACTCAAGCCACGAGGTCAGTGATTGCTCCCTGCCACATGCACACTGGCCTCCCCTTTGCTTGCACCCTCCTTGGGTGCACCACAGTGCCCACAGTGCACAGAGCCCAGCGCACCAGACAGCCACCAACCTTGTGTCTTGCTTCCCTACTACAGATGAAGGGATAATCAATGCAGCAAGGAAATGATTTCTTCTAACTTTTTGCTTTTCCTGTCCAGAAAATATCTTGTGGCTTAAGGATGCTGTCTGATTGACATTGTAGTCATAGGATGTTATTTCAATTTCCTAAATGAAGGACAGAAAGAATTATAAAATGAATCAGGAATAACAAAGAAAAAGTAGAGTGATGCATAAACAATCTATTGAGCATGGGCGTTTGGATGATTAGTAGATACATCCCAAATATTCACATCAACAAGACTTTTGTGGTGTAAACAGAACACTAGCATATAAAAGCGGGATGCTAAGAAGACTAAACAGGACAACGGCATAGATATCAAATTAATGTTTGAAAGCAAGGTTTTGCAACCTCGCCAAAATGGGATGTGGTAAAAGAAACTTCAACAGCTTCAGCATGGAGTGAGATTTTTGGGGATCTCTGCTGTACAGGTGTGAGAGCATCATCTGTGTGTCACTGAGTGGAGAAGTTTGTGCGATTACTGCACTGAGTGATGCTGCTGCTTTCATTCTCAGCAGAGAAGGCTGCCTCGAGACTTGCTCACACAACATGTACAGCAGCACTTCCTTTCAGGGACTCCTTCTYGCAGCTGGTCCTCACTGATGTGACGGAAGCACGATGGGCTTTGTGTGGAGCAGCTTCACGCAGCCTTTAAGACATGCTTCAGGTTAAAGGCAGAGTATTTCACGCCAGGGCTAGTGTTTGCACTGAACGTCAGTGTGTATTTTGGTTTGGTCAGCATAATGCCTGGGCAGTGACCTTATACAGTCCCAATTAGCTGATAATTGCCAGGGAGTTGGAATTCCTTAATGTTAGGAGTGAACAAGGCAATCATGGGAAAAAGGGAGGGATAACAGGAGCAGCTAATTAGGTGGTGATTGGTGCTGGTGAAAAGGAGAAGGGAGAAAGAGAAGGAGAGTTGTCCCACTGAAGATAAGGGTCTGGAGCCCAGAGTAGGACTTGGGTCATCCCTATTCAATGGCTACAGCTACCAGGTTCCCTTCAAAGCCCTTGGGATTTGAACTTTTCAGTGCAGCATCTTTGCAGGGATGTCACTACAGGTGAAAGCGATGTGCCTGGCTGGGAGCCCTCTTTCAGCACCTTTGGGAAAGTGGGTTTCCTTGGRGACTTTCCTTGGGGAGTTCAGTGGCATACTAAGATCACCAATGCTCATATTCCTTCAAATTGAAAAATGCTGTCTGTGCTACCTTAAAGGTATTTTACTCCATTAAATATATAGATCTGCTAAGGAAAACATGATGTGGAAAGCTTGAGGGAGCTGTTTTATACTACTAAGGTTTCTAGATGAGGGGAAATATCCTGGTCTAATCCTATTGCCGCAATCATGCTATATACTTCCTGTGTGGCCACTCCAATTCCAGCTTACTGCATGTCACTCAGGAGAAAAGCCATGCTTATTCCAGCCTAATCGTGCCTCCAGAAATATCCAATTACAGTAGAATAACTCCATTGAAATAGTGAGGTTACTGACATGATCCTTATATATTTGCCTTACCTGTGGTCTTTTTTTGTATGACTCCACAAACTTGGTGTATTTGCTACTAATACGATATTTTCCAAAGTATTTGCCATGGGCTATACCCTGCTCTCATTAATGCTTACAAAAATYGAATAATTCCCGCTAACATAACTAGGGCAGGTTGAATAGACCAAAAAAGAGATTTTGTCCCAGTATGACTATAGAAAATATAGTCTTCAGTGTACTCTTTTGGATGAGCCAAATTTGCTGAGYTGGATGCTGTCTGTTCCAAGTGAAAATTACTGACTTATTTCTTTTCTTATTACCCAGTGCCCTTCATGACCTGCTTCAGAAGCCCTTTGTAGGAGATGGGAATCCAAGCATGAGGAAAGGACTACTTTTCCCTAAATATCTGCACAGGCTCTAATTGCTGGTGCTCCTGATTTTAACGGAGAACTCCAGGCATTACACCAACACAGATACAATAAAGTGTAACTCATTAGGTAGAAAAGATAAAGTGGCACTTAAGAGAGCCACTGACAGATGACAGTGTGGATCAGAAGCCAGGGGCAGAGGGAAGGTTGGGCGCTTGCCCCTTCTGCTGCAAAACCTCCTCCCGATGCCTCGAGAATAAAAGCCTCGTGGCATAATGGTGGTGGTGATGACAAGGGTAATAAGGCTCATGATAATAAGGACAAGCAGGGTTTCCATTTCCATTACCAGAGCAATCGATTGGGGTTTAGGTTTTCTTTTTTATTATTACTATTTTTTTTTGTCTGTGTCATCTAAGAAAGTTCTSTAAAGGGCCATGAGATAAAATCCTGAAAAAGGCCTTTAAAACGTCTTTGGAAGCAGCATGGAATTTTAAAATCCACTATGTAATTTAAAAATGAAAACTAATATAATTGGTGTACAGTCCATTTCCATTAGAAGAAGGATACTGCTCAGCTGCTTCATCTCAGCATCATTTAGATAAAACACACAGTGAATTTCTATTTTTTTTTCTTATTTTTCTTTTAAGTTTGCCTCTCAAGGGAATTTGCAAAGTAACAAAAGGGGCTTTTGTCCCCTTTTACATAGGCAAGTATATTTTGCTCTCTAGGAGGGAGAAAAAAAGTTGCTCTTTCAACTAAGGTACTTTTAAAAGTGCTATATCCTTGAAGCTGCCTATATATTTTAGAAGCTGTGGCACCTCTGGGCTCTGCTTAGGGGGCAGAAATGTGCAGGAACCTGCAGCGAGCTCTTAAGGCAGAATGAAGATTTTCCTCTCCAGGAGCTTGGAGCCAAGGCTGCAGCTGAACTGCTCAGGAAATAACCCTTGCCCAGAGTAGTTGGCTTTGTGTCAGAGTGGAAACGGTGAGCCCAAGATGCATTTATGTCAAGACTTGCTTATYGCTGTGGTCCATCTATTTTAGCCCATGGCTGGGAAAAGTGCAGTGCTGATGAGTAATGATATTTGGGAGCAGGAGGAGAAACTTCACTTGCAAGCCAGAAGGTATCCTCTGTCCTCTGCCACCCATTGCTTGCGGCTACGAGGTGTCTCAGAGGTTTGTGCATGTGGCAGTGCACTACTTCATGCACACAGCAGTTACARGCTGGAGCCTGTAACAGTTTAACAACATGGCTTGCTGCTTTTCTTCAAAAACGTGAAATCTGCACTGATCAGTCAAGTCTCTGTACAGACCAGTCTGCGTGTGAAGGAGTTAACCAGCAACTGTTACTTGTTTTTCCTCCCTCCACACAACAACCAACTTGACAGTACCAAGAACAGCTAACCCCAAGCAGATGAAACCAGAGCTGAAGAGAATTATTCGCTAAGCAGGCACAGCATTGAGATTACTGTCTATTTGTCGTCACAGTAAATAGGAGGCCACCTTTTGTTAAGGYCTGTAGTTGAAGCAGGACAGACAGAGCTGAGAGATATTTGGCGATGTGGGATTTTTCCAAGGCACAGAGAACAAGAGCCCTTATCAGCCAAGGAAGAGAAGCTGAGAGCAAAGGGTATGGTGCAGGTCTTGTGCAGAAAAGCAGAGATTTGGTCTTAAGAAAAGATGAACTTAARGGAAAAAAAGCAGTGCTGAAAAAGGTGTTGACACTAAAGCATTAGGTGTAAAGACATTTATGCAGAAAGGAAAGCTTAGAAACAAGAGGCATTTGATTAGGAGACCTATATGTCATACATYTAGACACAAACCCACCTTGCACACACACCCCACCTTGTGTACACTGAATGCTCTCTTGTTTTCTTCCAGAAGATCTGGAATAAAATATTAAGCACGCAAAATGGAAAGCTTAAAGACTGGGATTTCAAAAAGTCCATTAGAAACTGAACCTGGCTTCCACTAAATTTCAATAGGATTGTTGTGCCTCCATCAGTCAGACGCCTCCCGAAATCTTAGACCGCAGCATCTTATTTAAACCTCTCACACAAATCAGCAATATGTTTTCCACGATGCTCATTAAGCCCATGCTTCTGCAACAAGTTATTTTTCCCCCTCTATGAAACTGTGACTTAATGCATAGTAATGGCATGTCAAAAACAGCATTGCAGCCCTGGTCTTGAAGGCAATGCTGAGTCTCCTGTCATGCGTGGAATGTAATTACCATTAAGGTTGAAAAATGAGGGAGATGAACAGTAGTGGCAGTTTTTCTCAAGTTTACATAAACACTGGCTGCAAGAAGAGGGCAGGAACATTAAAATCAAAGAGCTCCTGTCACATCAGTGCTTTAAATCTCTAAGCGGCTCCTTGAAAATCATCTGGCCTCGGTGAACACAAACAACCGATAAAAGCTTCAGTTAAGGTCTGCTCTTATCTGCTAATTTCAGGGCAGCCTTGCCCTTTACCCACTGTCCCTAAGAAAGTAGCGGTTTTGGCACTTTCTCCAGGCTCACTAAATTCTCTGCAGTAAAAATAATAACTATCTGAGAAAAAAAAAAAAAAGAAAAAAAAATGGGATTGTAGGTGTATGAGAAGGAGTCTCCGTATCACTTTGAGAGCAGCTGTGGTGAAATATTTCCAATATTTCCTTTACTTCTTCAGGCTGATAGGTAAATACTGAGTGATAGAATGTGCTACCCTCTCCTTTTCCTCCTCCTCCTCCTCTTTGTAGCCCTGGGTGCAATGCCCTAGGCACATGGTGCCAAATATTGCACCAAAAGCCCTCGGAAATGTGGAGAGCTCCTCTCCTGCAGTATCCTGCCTGGAGACCAAGACACTGCTTGAAGTCCTAGGGAAACAGAGCTTCCTGAGAAGGAAGAGGTAGCTGGATGTTTTAAGGCTTTCCCTGTGTCACGGGGGTAGTTTTTCCCTTATTTGTGCTTAGTGCAAGTTAGCAGCCAAAACGCAAATCCACAAGTTTCAGGTTTCATTACCGCCATGAAACTCCAGTCGGGTTTGCCAGGAGGTTTTTCAAAGGTAACTTTTC